GAGGGGCCCAGGGGATCCTCAGCCATCTGCAGCAGCTAACACTGTTCCCTCTGAAGCAAGGCAGCAAGGCAGGGTGCCCCTGTCCTGGATGGCTAGTTTGCAATCATGCTGTTGGTGGTGCTGGGCATGTTGTAGTCTTGCAGGGCACCCTGTCACCTGTACAAACTGCACCCCAAAAGTTTAACAAAGGTCAGAACTACAGCTACAAACCAAGTAAAGAACCAGCATGAATACAGAGGAAGGAGAGAAGAAAGGACTTGGGACTAGTCCCCTATCTGCCTTGCTCTTCCATCTGTAAAATGAGGACTATAACATTTCCATTTTCTTCACATTAAACAGGAGAAGAGAAGGAGGGACTTCTGATAAGAGAGTATAAATACGTATTCGTACTCTGCAAAATGTTCAGAAACATATAGATTGAATTCATTTAATTGTTTTGGCTCAGATAATTAATTCTTGAATGGTAAATGTTTAATTTCAACATCCTCTAAATGAGCTTGTTTGGTTTCACAGAAATGCTTTGTTTAGGGGTTTATCAAAGCTTTATGCTCTTAAATGGATAAAGGAAAATAAATATTTCATGCTGAAGAAAAGGAAAATGTTTGTTTCACCTGACATGAATTTATTGTCAGCTTTTGATTTATATTCATAGGCAAAAAACATCTGCAGACCAGCTCCTAGTGAATTTTCTCCCTTCCCTCTCCCCTCATTTTGCAGCTAGACCAACAAGCAGCAGCAGCAGCATGGCACTTCGGGAGCCCTCTCCTCAGCTAGGTGTGCACGGTCCGTGCACAGCAGGACCATGATCAAAGCACAGCTCTCTCCAGGCCAGTCTGGAAAACTTCAAAAAATACAAATAAGATCCATAACAGCAGAAATGTGTGCTTCACAGGAGCAGTGAGAATGTGAGGGGCACAGAAAGGGCTTTGCAAGTGGTAGCACTGTAAGGGAATGGGTCTTTCAGACTAATATTTGACACTGGGGACTAACAGAAATTCACAGTTTTATCGAGCTAGCAATAAAAGGAGGAAGCTTGAAAACAAGATCATATAATAGCTGTCCCTAGGTCAGTTATACAAAACAAAGTCATAAGAAAAGGTATAGACAGACAGTGTTTCTCAATTCAGTGTTTTTACTCTAAATATAAAGTGCCAGATTTTTATACAAATTATCTTTTTATCTGATTATTTATTTATTTGATTTCTTATTTCTTACTGAGCTCTGGGATGACCCAGCTGAGGAGGGGACAAAACAGGAGGCCACCTGATGGCAAAGGGAAACACATGAGTTTTCTCCACACTTCTTTTCCCACCTGTGTTTTAAACAGCTTAAAAACCTTTCCACAGATATTAGGGAAATTATAGTCTCTAACCACTTACCTAGAAATTGTAAATAATGTGGTAACATTTTAAGGTGAAATATATTTGGTAATTTTATATTTGTAACAGACATGTTTAATTCTGAACTCTATTTTTAAAAGAAAAGGAAAGATATGAAAACTAATAAACACCGATATTGGAATTTGCTGTGTTCCACACTCCTGGGATTTTTCTTTTTTATTTTCTTGCAGGGCTATGCCTCTTCTTTGAAACCTCCAGGCTGTTTCCTACCTGTCTAGAAGGACAGAAGATATGTGTGTGTGTGTTTATTTTGGCCTGTAGGTATGTAGAAAGGAAATTAAAAGTTTTAGTGAAAAATTTATTTAATAATGAAGCCACTTTGGGAGACCTATGTTTCCCTTTCAGAGAATAATCAGACCTATTTGATGGCAAAGACCCTCTGCTGGAAATGCCTGAAAAAGTGCATGTGATGGCAACAGTATTGATTATTTAAAGGTAATGAAAAACACCAGATTTCCCTGAAAGCATTCAGGTACTCAAGCTATGAAGAGGGCACCTGTTGCAAGAACACCTGCACAGAAATATGATGAACCAGCTGCCCAGGGTATTTCAGGGTTAGTTTCATATTTTTTAAAATGAGAGGCATTATCTGAAAGGGTTTAAGTAGCATTGCGGCTGTGAAATCTGTATGTTCCCAGAAGTTTAAGTAGTGTAAACCTGCGGCATTACCTTCAGAGTGATGCTAAATAAATTTCAGTCCATAGTAATAAATTCACAGGTGTCAGGTATTTCCAAATGTAGATGGTTTTTGGTCTGGGGGCATTTAAAGACCACCGTTCTTCACAGTACTTCAGATCAGTAGAGCAATTACAGTCACAGTGGTGTGTGCAAAACCCTGACTGACAAGGAAAAGATTTTTGATTGTAGACCTTAGTAGACCTTAGTTCTGTGCAGCTGCAAGCTTCCCAACATAGATCAATGTTTGGTAGGAACCAAGTGGTCACATCAACCAGCAGTACATGACAGTCACCTCCTGTGCATGTGTTTGTGGTACAAACACAGTGCAAAGAAAAGAGACAATGAGAACTAGGGTAAGGAAGGATCATGTCTTGAAGCAGCAGCACCATAACATCACCATAAGGTGACAATGCAAATAAATGCCCCACTCTGCAATCTACAGATGGGACATGTACTGTTAGAGCAATGGGAAAATAATGTTATGGAGGTGTTGACCATCTTTCTAACAAATTGGATTCAGTAAACGGCTTGTCTTCATCTCACTGCACTATGCCACCAACCTACCCACATACCTCCTTTCCTTACTTAACCCACAGAGATAATCTCCCCTTGCCTCCAAGGACAAAAACACAAGGACAAGTGGGCTAGAACAGTAAAAAGATAAATAGTATTTCATCCATTCTAGTTCCAGTCTGAATAAAGCAACGGTGTCTCTACACATAAATATAACCTGCTTTGAATGGATATATGAATACGAGGTTCCCTAGTGCTGAGTTCCATGTGAAAACTCCAGAAACAGAGAAGACAGAGCTGAATGCAATTAGCTGTAGATCTGCAGTGCTGCACTTAAGCCAGGTCTGGCAATAGGGGAATCAACCCAGCCTGCTGCCTAGCAATGTGGGGGAAAGCAATGTGGCCTGCCAAAAGCCAAGAAAGAGGGTTTTCCAACCAGCCATGGTTTCTGTTAGCCAGCAGCAGCCTGGGAGACTCAGAGCTCCCTCTCTGACTTTCGAAACCCTTTCTCATGTGCCTGAAGCCAGCTTTTAGCTTAAGCTGACACCAGGCTCACCCCAGAGGAACACCTCCTCACCCAGCAAGGAAAGCCACAGGGGCCACCTTTCTTTTTTAAAGAAATTATCCACGTCAAAGGTTCTTTTAGAGTGTGTTTCAAAATGGACACCAAACTGCTGGGCTGGTCATGGTTGTGATTGAAAGAGAAGCTGGAAAAGAGCTCAGAAAACACATAGAAAGGAACTGAGAATTAAGAAACCAGAGTAAATACCAATGTGTGCAGGCTTGTTTCCATCTAAATCAACAGCGATTCTTGCCATCAGCTTCAGTGAAGCCAGACTTTCACCCAAACACTGGTGGTGCCAGGGGAAGGGATAGCAGAAAGATTTTGTTATCCAAATAAACAGGGTGACCCAGTTCCTTCAACTAACTTCAAACTGGAGGCTAATGTTCAAATAATTACACGTCTGTTCTGCGCTGGTCATCATGATCTGTGACTCATTATTTTCACAGTTCAATCAAGTGATTTTAAATCTGTCAACATACTTCTCCCTGATTACTGAAGCGTGTCAGGGCTTTCTACCTGCTTCAGGAGGACATTATACAAGTATGCCCTGATCTTCTCCTCGACGTCTCTTAATAATAGCTTTCTCTGCAAACAGCCCAACCGTGCTGGGCTTGTAAGTCTTCAGAAAGGAAATCAACACTTAGGGTAACAATGAGATATTAAAAGAGGAATCGACAACAAAGAAATCACTGCCTATGTTATTCCTGATGTCCTTTGGTTGCAGTGGCGGGCAGTGGCCATGCTTAGTCTTCTGAAGGGTCCCTTCCAAACTCAGCAATAGCTGTCTTTGAGAGGCTGCACACAGGATAGGAAAGGAAAACAGTTTTCCTTTTGTTAACAACAGAGATTTCGTAACCATTGTTTCTGCATGTAACAGTCCTCTGACCTTCAAAAAAAGTTCACCTAAAATTGCCACAGATCCTTTTTCCCAGGTACACAGATCTTCAGGCAATTTTACAGGTCAGGAAGTGCTGGTGTTGACTTTTACAGAGTGCAGTGAGAACTGCTGCACATTTTCACCCGTGATGCATTTAGCATCGTGCATACACAACTGGATTCTGAGAAAAACGTTTGCTGTTAAATGTAATTAATATCTACCCAATCATTAATGCATAATGACTCTCATTCTATTCCAGGAATCCCAGATTTCCCAGCATTAATTTACCTACATGAGGCATGAGCAGAAGATAGCACTGGTGTCAACAATTTAATATGATTCAAATATACATGAATAAGGAGAATATTGCATAACAAGCTATTTCATATAAATTAGGGGAAATAAAAATACAAAAAAAAAAAAAAAAAGACTTTTCTTTTAACATCAGCCACGTGCTTGGTAACAGGGGTTAATCAGAAGCTTCCCAGGTGGCTGGATGTTTCCTAACTGCCCTTTATGGATTTATTTCTCCCTCTTCCTTCCAAGGGTGAAGTGCTGGCCTCTCTGCTCTGTACTGCTGTGCTGGACAGACCAGTTAAGTTATTTGGCAATTTCCGAGTGCATATTAAGTTACCCATGCATATTTCTGACCTAGTTATAAAATACAACCACTGTGCAATATCCAAGAGAATGTAGAAGACTGATAATAAATTGCAGATCCTGTGTCACTAGTTCAAAAATCCCACCCCAGCAGTGAACAAGGCTGACTTTCTGACAGTTATTTTCATGGCCTTCCTAAACTAAAGGAGAAGGGAGTGGCTGAGCACAACAACTTGCACTGGAGCTGGGCAAACAGGCTGCCCTATCAACACGGGGACTACCCGCTTGGCAACACCATTGAGAGAAATGGAAAATTGTACTCTGTTTGGCATTGTCCAAATCCTGACAGTTTTCCACAAGATTTGGCTTTTTTTTTTTTTTTTTTTTTTCATACTTCTTACAACCATTGGATTACCCATGAAGAAGAAAACAAGAATTCATTGCTGTACCAGAAACAGTAGGGAGCTGCAGAGTCTCGCAACAAATTAAGTGCACTGCCCTCTGATGAGCCTTCATCAGATGTTAAAAGAACAAAAATGTTGAATGCACATAGATTTCTCTGAATTTTTAGACCCCAATCACTTCAATTCTGCTACAGTCTTGGGAGAACAGAAAGGAAACAAACCCAGGAGCAGGGATAGGTTCAGTAAAAAGGAGAAAGGGTGGTGAAGGTGAACACCAATGAAGATTTCTACAGACAGAATTTGCACCCTTTCTGGCTAATTTATGTGATACTGTGTATGAACACTCTCACTTCAGTTTAAGGGTGGCTTTGTCCATTTGAGCTTAAACCTGTTCCCAATCAGCTAATGCAAAACTGAGATAAACCTGGATTAAATCAAGATTGGAATGTACAGGGAAGGACTACTTGGAAATCGCATCCCAAGGCACAAGCTTAGTTCAGCTGGCTGACGCACTGATTTATATGATGGTGTTTCAGGATGGAAAGTACATATTAATAGAAAAAGCATATCAACATTTAATTGAATGTAAGGGATATTTTGGAAGACCATTCTTCACTTTTTTTTATACAACATTTCACAAGACTGGAATCCTTGAGAACTATTAGAACCAAGAAAAACAGTGAATTGTAATGAAATGATAGCAATAGTTATTGTAATAGTAATAGATGAGAACAAAAAGCTGCATGCAATGTGAGTGGCAGAGGTTCAGAAAAGGATCTCAGCTTTTATTTTCACATGCACATAAAGTAAACACCTATTTCTCCCCATTTAAATACAAACAAACAACAACAACAACAAAACAGCATTTTTAATACAACAGAACACACCAGGGAAAGTGCAAAGCCTGAAGTGCTGTGGGTGCTATGACTTTACAAGTCCCAAATGCTCAGATCGATAGCTTACCGACAAAGCCCAGTGGCTGGGGAAATGAGGCAGACTCTCTGGACCCCATCACAGGCCCCTGACCACCCACGCCAATGCTCAGAGAGACAAGGTCACTCTGGACCCTGGGTGTGAGGTACCAGGCTCTCTACCTGAGGTGGTTGGCTTGCACTCAGCTCCAACTGGCAGTGGTCATGTCCTACATCCAATGACTTTAATGGTCTGAACTCACTTGTGAATGGAGTTGTGCTGTCTGAGTGGCAAAACTTGCTTCCATTTTTGTTGGAAGGTATACCGGAGAGATTAGCTGAATCGTCGAAGATTGGCTTATCATCATTTTCACAAAGAGTACCCTTCCCTGCTGGGATCACAGTGACAAGAAAACAGAAGGAAGTTTGCACTTTTTCTTCTAATATTGTCAAAGTACCTCCAGGGAAAGAACAGAAGCAACCAATCCTCCTTGGTCTGCTTCAGATGAGGAGACAGAAAGGTCAATTGAGATTATATTGAGCTTCATTTCAGGGCTGTTCTTATCATTAATCCTGCATTGTTGTTCCTGTGCCCCAGACCTGCTTGGTATGCATTCCACTTGCAAAGAATAACAATAATTTTAGGTATCTTAAGTCCAAGACATATACATATTGTAACTATTAGGTATTTCATGTCAAGTTAACATTGTCCCAGAGTTAATACAAAAACTAATCTTTTATACAAATATTTATAAAATTGTTCATAACACACTAGCAATAGATTTAAACTTTTTTACTTTCAGGGCTCATAGTAGCACTAAGAGATTTTCATGTGAGAAAATAACCTAAAATTAGGTTATTCTCTTAAACAAACAAACAAACAAACAAAAAACAACAAACAAAAATGTGCAGAAATCCATAAAAGCCTTATAGAGTTTGTTTGCAGAACCTCATGCCACCATGCTAGGGCTGTAGTGAAAAGATTTGAATAATTTAATTTGTTCTCATCTTGGAAAGTGTTCTTCTCCATCCATACAACAAAATGCCAGCCACTGAGTCCACTTAAACAATTTTACAATGAACAAATGTATGTGAGAGCAGAATTTGGCTGGGTAAACGTTCACAGAAAGCAATTATAAGGGACTTGTTGGCAAGTTTCCTCCCAACTCCCTATGCGTACTTCTAGGAGAGGGTATGTAGTCATTCCTATTTCCAGCTCCTGCAGCTATGTCACAATTTGTGGTTTGCAAAATTAGAAATTAATGAAGTATGTTGGCACAGAAAGAGTCCTCGAGAGAAAAATCCAGCAATAAAATGCTGGTAATTGCTGCAGAACAAGGAACTGGTGGAGAGCACACCACGCTGGGTGCAGGTAGGTAGGCAAAGTGACTCATGAGGTAGGCTGTATAAAGGGATGAGTAATCAATGAAAACACAGTGAAAGAACAAATTGTCTCATGTGGAAAAGGCAGCTGCAGCTGGAGATCATCCCTCTTTGACCAAAAAAAATATATATATTTAAAAAAAAAAAAAAAAAAAAAAAAAGAATGAAAAACTCTCTGGACTAGAGTAAAGAAGGTTAATGGAAGAAAGCAGTAGGACAGCAAGTCCCAAAAGGCAACATTGCTCACAGCAGCAGCAGCGGTTCTGGGCCATGGGCAGAGAAGGAGGCATTCAGCTCCTCAAGTGACATACTTTGACCAATTTTGCACATCCACAGCCTATTGCAGATGGTAGCTGGGGGTGAATCTGTTGCAGGCCCAAGGATAACACCAATCAGCACAGATGTGGAAGTGAAAGGAAACAGGCAGTATTTTAGGGCAGAGCATTTCATGGCATTTGGGCTTTAGATCATTCACACACCTGTAGTCACCTGTTGCTGCAAGGAGCAGCAGAGCTCAGACTCATGAATGGGGCTTGTTCCCCATCCCTGGTGAAGCAGGCATGTGCTGACCCCGTGGCAGGCTAGCATGTACACATGGATCCAGGAATGCAGCACCGCTGTGCTCAGGTGTGAGATGAGATGTGCTGAGACTTCTCCCTTCTTTGGACGGGTAAGGTCTATTAACAAATCAAAGGAAAGCCAGACCTGCTCTCTCAGACTGTGGTTATCAAATCATGGTCAACTCTGGAGACAGGGAATACCTGACAGTCTGCAGTCCTCTGACAATATTTACCCAAGTCTCTCAGGCTCCGCTGAAACTAAAGTTATTCCTCAGCTATTCTGTGCAAGATGTTGGAGTTAATCACCATGATAGTCACTGGGACTGAACAGAAATGGGATGGATTTGTCTTTGTTCTTGGGCAGGACAAGCCTCGTCATTAGGAGAAAATTTCCTGGTTCATGCTCTTTCATTTGAAAAACTAAACTCCATAGCTGCACTATCCTTGCTTATACTCCCTTCCCATAAACACTCTCACTAAACATTTGCAAAGAAGAGGAAACACAGCCAAATCCTACTAACAATCCTATTGCAGGACATTTATGTTTTCTGCATGCTCCTCTGGGAAAGAGGTCCCTTTAAAGCTTTCAATATGATTTAAGCACAAATGCTTTTTATATAGGTCAGGAAAGAGAAATGTAATTTCCCCTAGTTTTGTTTGGTCAAAGTTCTCTGTTCTCGCACTTAATTAATGACTCTGGTGAAATGTTTTGAAAGCAACAATGTTTCTAACCCCAAATGCATTGCCAAATTGAGTACTTCCTGCTTATTGTCTATTTTGGAGAGGAGGCTGAACTCATATCCATGCACTGCTAATAAAACCAAGGAAACTATTTTTATGGCTCTGGAAAAAAAAAAAAAAGGTATTTCTTCCTCAGTACCCATCTCTGTCATTTATAGCTGCAGGAAGGAAAAAGGTGATATAAGAAATGTCAGAAGCAAGGGAAAGGAGGGGAGAGAAGTCACATAGGACAGTGCAATGCTACCCAGTTGGAAGAGTCAGCTTCGCTGGTTGTCTTTGACACATTATTTCCTTTTTTTATATAGTCACCCCTGAAAAACAAGCACTCAGAGGAAAGTCCACATAAGGACATAAGTACCCAGAGTGGAAATGAGGCAGAACTGAGTTCAGAATGCAGCCCTCAAATCTTTGCCTAACTCAATGAGTGCCTGCTTTTTTGTTTGTTTGTGTTTGGTTTTGTTTTTGTTTCTGTTTGTTTGGTTGGTTGTTTTGTTTTGTTTTGTTTACCAGTAATGTTCCTCTGGTTTTAAGCTTTCACATCTTACAACTCCGTCATATCCAGCAAAGACAGCCCAGCACCTGTCTCAGGTCTGAGACACTGATGCCCAGAGGGACCCACTCTGGTACCCATGCTCAGAGTCCCTCTACGGCATGTTCCCAGGTGCAAACCCAATTGCCAGCAAGACACCTGCCCATAAGAGGAGGGACACACTTTCGTTACATCCCATCTGATGTCCACTTCTCCAGTGGTCTGGAGGGTTTGAGCTCACTACTCTAGTAGCCAAAGTTCAAGTTTATTTCACTCATAATTTGTTCCCTGCCCTGTCCTCCACCCTTGACCCCCACCACCAAAATGATATAGAGAGAAATAAGGACTTGCAGTAGTTACTGCAGCCCAGCTGAGCTGACCCCTTGTTCAGTTCAAGGAGGAGCCTGGGAAAACACCTCCATCCACTGCAGAGACAAAGCTGTAGAAGGCTTCTGTTCAGCAACTGCATTTGCTTGTCATTTTAAATGGGGGAGAAGCTTTTGCAGAGGGAATGGCAGATGGTCAGACCCACCACATGAGCCTTATTCCCTCGGACAGCTGTAGAACCCTGAAGCATCCACAGAGACAAAGACAGTGATTTTCCTGTGGTAAGCTGTAAGCAGGGACATCTTCTCAGATGGCTGTCCAGCTTCTCCCAGGTTGCCTCCTGCTCAGGGAGAACTGTTGCACCAAGATGTTAATGGGATTGAGCTCAAGAACAGACATGACTGTTTTGAGAGATTCAGGAAGAGGCAAAGTAAATGAATACAAATTGCAGTTCTCAGACAAAGCCTCCCAATCTTGGAGACCTCTAATCTTTCCAGGCAAACTCATATCATTAGGTACTTATCAATAAGTCAAAATTGAATATCAGCTGTCATAAAACACTCTAAGTCTGCAATGTGTTCCTTCTTGGAGATAGCTTTAAGAAGAATGCATGAAAAATTGAAGTGCCAAAAGCATCATTCTTCTTTCAGGCAAGACTGCATCACACATTTTCCACTTGCCTTAGCTCCTGATAGCTTTTACCCCAAGTCTTTGTGTTCCTGGACAGACTGATGGGACTGCCCAGTGCCTAAGCAAGGCCAGACTTCACATCCAGACTCTTCAGCTCTTCTGTTCCTAGAGCTACAGCTCACTGGCAGACAAAAGTTCACTGATAATATCCCTTCATTTTCTGGAGGATGCTCCGTGTAAGCCCATGGTATCACCCAAATGAACATGCACGTTTCTGGAGGACACCCTGGTGGAAAGCACTGTTCAGCTGCCATCAAGGTCAGATGACCCTAAGGAACACACAATGTTGTTCAAAAATCTCCAGAACTACAGGCACATCTTCAGTAGAAAAAGAAACGTTGTAAAATCTTGTCAGCCTGCAACCATGGAAGACTGAATCTGAATGGCAGGAAAAATATGGAGTAATATCTATCCTAAATATTTCTGTGTTACTGGAATAAGTCCCCATCCCAACACCTATCCTGATATAATGAATGTTGATAAGGAGTGGAGACAACAATCTGGTGAAGCCATGGCAAGTGGAGCTGACATTTCACTGCTAAGTAACGATGGCAATGGTTATGGTATTGATACAACAAGGCTGCTCTACCTGAAGTAATAGATGGTGAAATAGTTGACCTGAGCACACAGGATAACTGTGTGGATATTGAAATCTCAGGCAACAATAACAATATCACTTTAGCTAACAAATAATGCATAAAGCTGCTATTGCAGTATCTGATGGGTGTTGCCTGTCTTTAATGGCAGCCCAGTACAAACACTGTTCACATAATGTTGTTCCACAAACACACAGCATCTGACAAAATAAATAACCACCCAGGACTTCTCATTTGGCATTTCTGATTTCTTCTGGAACACAATGATATTGGCTAAACCTGTGTCTTGAAAACATTTGCCTGCAGTGTTCTTGTTTTGTATATTTACACAATCCATGTAAATTTTGTAGTTTATTTTCTGACACAGAAAACCTGTGGTGACTTTTTATGTTTAATGCATTCATTCTGAAGTGATTGCTTTTCCTACTGCCAATGTGATTTTTTTTATTATTGTTTGCTAAAGAATTAAGAAACCGTATTTGTGCATATTAAGAAACCGTAATTGTGCATGTAACCCTCACACTGCCATTACATAATCTACAAATTTCAGTAGTCCAAAAAGTGATACATTCCCAGGTTTTGGATCAATGAAGTTCCTCTTCATCATGACAGTGACCTAACATATCCAATACGTAGAACCCAAAAGGCCGGAGAGACCGCCATGTATGAGCCTGCCACCCTGGGAGCAAAGAAGTCCAGGCAATGCAAAGTCACAGTTGAATTTGCAAAGCTGAGTAGTGCTAGCAGGAGGTACAAAACATGGATGAAGAGGAGAACAGCCTCTCCTAAGGCTTTCTCTTAAGAGCAACATGCAACAGCCCAGCACAAAAGTGACTGGACTAACACTCTTCCAGTTAATATCCTCATTTTAACGGGGCTGATGGTATTGGAGAAAAAAAGCAAGCGACAGAAGGTAATAGAGAAACTGATGTAGTCTATTTTTCAGGGAATCACTGGGGAAGTACAGCCACCACTAAGGTGGTTAAAACAAAAAAAGGCTTTAGTGTGCAATCGCTTACGCCTTTTTCAGGGAAAGTCTTTACTAACTAAAACTGATCTGAAACCACTGGTTGCATTTTCCAAAAAGGACCTCACAAATATCTTCCTTCCCCACAGAACACCGCAGGTCCTATCTGCAACTTCAAACAACCAATCTGCAAAGCAGATAGAATTTAAGGAAAGTTTAATTGTTTTTCTGGTGAGAACAGGCAGAGGAGCAATGTCCAGGAGTAGCATTTTTATTGGATTTAAAAAAGAAACCTGCATCATCCCAGGCAGACATAGACCAGAATTTATCAGGAGGCCTCCATAGCCAGAGCTCATGGAGGCCTCCTGATAAAGAGAGCACAGAACTGCAGTTCTCCCAGCTTCTACTGGGAAGCTAAAAGGAGAGAAAGGGCTCTCAGTATTAGCTAGCATTTTTTTCTAGGATAGTGATTTTTGAAGATATATGAGTTTGAACCTCTCCTCTACTCCCCAGTAGCTTTTGCCACTACTTAACTTTCTATCTGTAAGGCAGAGCTGCATTTTGTTTCTTCCTTCAGTGTTCTGGAGAATAAATGAGGTCTTTAAAGGACTGGTAAATCTAAAAGCTGCAGCAACAAAACAGCAATCCAAAAGAAGACCAGAAATACTTTAAGCTGCCTGCAAAGGAAAAGAAGTGTGAAGAGGCTGTTAAAAATTCTGTCAAACAGAGGTAAAGTCAGTCAGAGTCCCATCAGCAACACAGGAGAAGCCAACCTTGCAGTGCAGCAGGTGCATAAGTCCATGTCCCAGACCAGCCTTCTTTCCTCTTGGAGATGGCCTCATCAAACAGGACAAGGTGGGCAATAAAAAAGCTCACACCACTCCTTTGCACTGGCCATAGGAACACAGGCACAGGAACACAACATGACTGAGCTACCCACCCAGTTGCAGGCAGGAACTGGAACAGTTTTCTGCAATATTTAAATGTAGATACCTCATTAATAGCCATAATCCTCAGCCAGGGGGAGCGTGGAAAACAGAGTCAAGGCAGCAAAGCCTGCACGTAGTGCCTGGGTTCAGGCACATCTGCTGGCTGTTGCAGAGAACAAAGATGAAAACCTTTGCTAACACAAAACCTCATGAGAACAAAGCCAGAGTGTGAAAAGGGAATATATAAAACATTTTCACAAGGAGTGACCAGTGCCAAATACTTCTTTTGTGCTTGAAGTGTCAGCTGGGTCTGACGGGTACCTGTGGAGAAACAGCAAGTCTGAGCAATAACTAATGTCTCCCTAAGTCCCTGCTGTCAGGCACTAACAGGTTAGTCATTTCCACACATCTCCTTTCTGACAGCTGAAGGAGAACCACGTCCTCTCAAGGCACCTAGTCTTGCTCATCTCCTAAATAAACATTAAGACTCCCCTGCTCTTAAGGGCTGACATGCTTAGATGAGGACAAGAGCACCCACTAGCCTGTCAGACACCCTGCTCCTCCTGCTTCCCACCATTACCCTGGGTCTTTCATCAACAAAACAGTTTGGTCAAATGGCACTTCTGCCTGCTCCTGCACTCCCCGCTGGGTGCAGGGAAGTCAGCCTGTCCCGTGGCTCTGATGCTCAGCTGGGATTTCAAAGACTTAATTTCCTGGTCTGCCACATTCCCTAGATCCCCCACACATCACTTGCTCTTCACCCTTGTATTCTGTGATGGAGCAATGGCACAGATTTGGAGATGAGTGGCTGGGGGTGTGCCCTGGCTGCCAAAAGGGCAAACCACATTTTGGGGTGCATTGAGCACAGCACAGCCAGCCGGTCAGACACGGTGATTCTCCTGCTATGTTTAGTGTTGGTGCAGCCTCACCTTGAGCACTGTGTGCAGTTCTGGGCTTCACAAAATAAAAAAAAAAAAGGTGTTAAATTACTTGAAAGCATCCAGAGGAGAGCAACAAATGTTCTAAAAGGCTTGGAAGGCCTGTCCTGTGAGGAGAGGCTGAGGACACTTGTGCTGTCCTGTCTGGAGCTGAGGAGGCCGAGAGGCAGCCTCACTGCTCTCTGCAGCTTCCTGAGGAGGGGACGTGCAGAGGGGGGTGCTGGGCTCTTCTCCTGGCCACTGATGACAGGACACAAGGGGACAGCACAAAGCTGTGCTGGGGAAGTTCAGAATGGACACGAGGAAAAGTTCCTTTACTGTGGGGGTAGTCAAACACTGAGAGAGACTTCACAGAGAGGTGGCTGATGTCCTGTGCCTGTCAGTGCTCAGAGGCATCTGGATAATGCCCTCAGACACATGCTGTAACTTGTGGTTATCCCTGAAGGGGTCAGGCAGTTGGACATGGTGATCTCTGAAGGTCCCCTCCCAATGAACTGTTCCATTCCATTCCGTTCTGTTCCGTTCCATTCTGTTCCATTCCACTCCTGGAAGGATACAAAGAATAAAGACTGTGGGCTGCTTTTTAGAGAGAAAACGGGACATAGGAAGATATTATATAAATGTAATGTAGATTTCTGTCTGCCACTTTGGTTTCCCAGTGTAATTGATTTCAAGCACTTCTGCCTGTCTCGGAATACCACAATAAAGTTAACATATGTGCACCAGGAGGATGGACTAAATTTTCCTCAAAATAATACTGCTACCATCAAACGGCAACTGAAGTAACCAATTTGCCATTGGTACAAAAAGAATTCCAACTGGTGGCTTCAAAGGCCTGTAAAGGATTCATTAATCTTTGGTCAGCAGCTGGACTGTAGAAGATAAGACTGAGCTTTTATTTTGATGCAATCATTTGCTTGAGTCATGCTGATACAGTCTCCACAGAAATACGAATCAGAGGAAGTTAGTCTTACTGTGCAGAAAGCAATTTTTCAAAACAAAAATATGAAGTAAGGAACTCATTGGGGTCAGGAGAGGGAGGAAAGCAATGGAATAAATGACTGATGAATGAAAAAAATCTTACAGGCAGTTTAGCTACACTTCCAGAACACCAACTGGGAAAGGAAAGATAGCAAAAGAACAAAACTAGTGCATACTGAGCCAGGGATTAAAAATAATAATAATAATTAAAAAAAAAAAATCACTGTATTTTTGTAAATTATGCTGATCTCTTGCAGATAATTCTTGCAAAATTAGGAGTTGATTATAGTGAGAAAAGGTGCATAGGCATTTTGACACGAGGTTAGCATGAACACTATCTGGCCCATTGGCAATATACGAAAACAGAACCAAGTCAGAGATTATTTTCTTTCCATTGGATGAGATTTTAAAAGGGAACTAAAGATTTAGTGTGTTCACCAGAACAGAAAACATTTATGAAGACTCAGGTTTATAGAAGGCAGTTGTCCAACAGCACTTAAAACATCAAGAGTTCTTTAAAAATATTTCAAGTTACTAATGAAGAATGTTTGAAATGCAAAATCACCAGCCATTTCTGGAATTTTCATAGAAATAAAAGCTATATAGAAGTAAACCTAGAGGCTTCCCTTTACATGGTGGCAATATTTCACCAAAACCTGTACTTCTTATTTGTTTCTTCAGTGGTTGGCCTAAAATGTAATTTTATGACCAATCTGATACTTTGATCCTATGAATATAAAGATGAAGATTAATATTTTGTGGCTTTCACCTCATTTCTCCAAAGGCCTGAACCACAAGCACACATCTAACAACTTCTGACTGTGGTAAAGTTCAGTCCTTACACCTGCATGGACCCCAAATGCCTTAAAAAATAAAAAAATAAAAAAAAAAATAGAAGACTCAGAGTCTTTTATAACAAAATCACCATTTTCAGGCCTGAATAAATATATGAAGAGAACACCTAAAGGAAAGACAACATGGCATTTAAATAAAAGATCCATGAAAACATAAAATGCCTGTTAACCATACTGCCTGCCTGGACAGCTGCTAAATTTATGGTAGTGCTTTACTGTTTCATCAACACTGAGAAATTATCCTCCTGTACATTTTACTTGTACCCTACCACCTATAAAATACATTTGGTTTTCCTTGTTATCTCTTTTTAGTAGACTGTGTAAGAGGAAGGGCCTGACATTCCCAGAACCTCTGTTGCTTTTGAGGGATTTTCTTATTTACTGCGTGTTTATCACCAACTTTAAATATACCTGTGGATGGCATGAAACATGGTGACCCATCTCCACTGCCAGCTCAGCCAAGCATTGTTTTCAAGTAGGATGGGTCTTGGGACTCGATGTTAAAACACCCAGCTGGCTTCCCGTCCTGTCTGATATTTTCCTGTTGCAGCCACCACAGCTGATGCCAACAGCAGGACCCCACTGTGAGGACATAGCTCTGGTTGTCCCCAGCAGCCACTGTCTGGCAGCTGCACTGACTCTGATTTAGTCTTCTGCAGGAGGCTGCTCTGGACTGCAGAGTCTGTGTTCCCACTGCGCCCTTTGGAAGGTGTTTTATTCTGTGATGGGGTAGCAGTCACAGAATCGCAGAATCATCTAGGTTGGAAGAGACCTCCTAGATCACCGAGTCCAACCTCTGACCTAACACCGACCAGTCCTCCACTAAACCATATCACTGAGCTCTATATCTAAATGTCTTTTAAAGACCTCCAGAGATGGTGACTCCACCACTTCCCTGGGCAGTCCATTCTAGTTCCTAACAACCCTTTTGGTAAAGAAGTTCTTCCTAATATCCAAACTAAACCTCCCCTGGTGCAACTTTAGCCCATTCCCCCTCATCCTGTCACCAGGCACGTGGGAGAACAGACCAACTCCTACCTCGCTATAGCCTCCTTTAAGGTAGAGTTCAATAAAGAGTAGAGTGCCATATGCTGGGCTATGCCACTATAGTCCTCCACAAGGTGAAGGAGCAGGCAGCAGCAGAGCAGCCCCATGCTACAGGAAATGTCAAAGCAGATTCAGAGCCAGCCTGGTGCTGCACAGCACAATAGGTCAGGCCCAAGTAGAGTTGTGAGTGTCTTTTATTTTTCTTATTTCAATAAACAGCTTTGTTTTGCATGCAAACCGTACCATATTAAGTGTGAGATTTCACGATAGATAGCATCAAGCATCTCATGCATCTTACTCACAGGGTTTGGCACTGGAGATCTCCCTGACTACGGAGCACCCCTGGCTGTATCCTGGGAACAGCCTCTGACCGAGGTGCCAAATACTTACTTCAAGTGCAGAAAAACACCACAAGAAATCCGCACTGAAACAGCAGCATGTAAACACACATCCACACACTAGCTGAAATCAGGAAACTTCTAAAACAGGCTGGAAATATTCTCTGCTTCACAGTGGTATGGAAAGAGGTTGCAGGGGAGAGGAAATAGAGACCTATACTATAAAGAAAATGAAGAAAATGCTTAATAGACTTGTAATCTAATCACTATGAAAACCCTCTTTATACAGTGCATGAATGATACCCAGATATTAAAGGAAAATTTTCCCCTCCTCGTTGAACTGCTGAGCCCAGGATTCTGCTGGGTTAATGGGCAGAGGGGCAGCTCGAAGCCCCCAGGTCCTCAGCTCTGCAAGGGACCAGAGTCCCCCTCCACAGCACACCCAGGTTCAGTAACGTGTGGAGCCAGTTCTGTTTCTGGAGACTTCAGCCTTCTCACTACAAATGTAATCACAAATAATTGTCCTTTCTGAGCAGCAGGAAACTTGGCTGCTAGTGAAGCAGTGTTACGCTGCCAAGCCCTGCCTGTCCAGCAAGAGCCGTGGTCCTGCTGCGCAGATCCAGCTCACGGCCCCCCCAGGCAACCCCCTCCTGCTGGGGGCACACTGCTCAGCATCCCCACAGCCTCTCCAGGACGTGAGGGGAGAGCACTGCCCGCGGCATCTGCATTTAATTGGAACAAAAAAAAAAAAAAAAAAGGTAATGCAACAAGAGGATGTTAAACTCATTGCATCAGCTCCGTAAGGGAGATCTCCAGACTGAAGTGCAGGGGACCAAAGACTGACCCAGGCAGATCCTCACGCTCTGACACACTTGTGCCCTGACTCCAGTAACTGCTTTAAAGCAATTAACCCTGAACTCTGTAAAAGTACGCCAGTTGACAAAGCTGACTGTAGAAAAGTTTCAGTGGTGTTGTTAAGCACACCTGCAAGGAGAGCAGGTGTGTGTGCGCTCTGCGAAACTGTGGACAAAGGGCCACGGATTGATGTCAGGCTGATGCCCCAGCACCAGCCCTGCAGGAGGTTGTATGGCTTCCAGGAAAAATGCCAGGAGCCTTTCCCAAAGATGAGAGAACAAGTAGGAGATGACAAGGAATGCCTTTCAAAATGATGCATGGCACTTTTGTACCAGAAATGGTCTTGTGCAAGAGATCTCACAATGTTGCAGAAATCACAGATAATGGGAAAAAGGATGAAAGAGAACTTGTGCAAACATTGTCTCAAACAGAGGAATGACAAATGCCCTGGGGAGGGATCCTTTAAACACTTCAGTGAACTCCATTATAATCAAGGTGTAGGCAAATAAAAGGCCATTGTATTCACAAGTAAATCAAAAGAACTTTTGAAATGCTAAGGAGACTTGGAAAAAAAAAAAAAAAAAACACACAATAAGAACGTCTAAGGGCAGGCAAGACTTTCACTGCATGTGGTTAACAACTGACTCTTGCACTGGGAACAGGGAAAGAAACTTGTTCATTTCTTAATGTAGCACATCCAGGCAGATACAGCTGTCAGAACCAGGATGCTTTGCTAGTACTGCAGTACTAACGTGGTAACTGCACTGCCCTGATAACATGAGGTTGGGAGGTTTTCTTGATGCCAAAGGAACAGAAAATGTATCTGCCTGAGACAAAGGGAAGTCTTCAACAGCCTGGCAGGAAAGACAGCCTGAGAGAAAGATGTCTCAGATTTCTCTTCTGTTTTCCCAGGACTTGACTAGGGAATCTCACTCTTGTATGTGGTTGAGTTTGTTTGGCCCCAAAACCTGGATGAAAATAAAATATATTTGTAAAAGGAATAAAGGCAAAATATTTTCTCATCCCAGAAACTGGTCTTAATGCACAGTTGAAGCTGTTTGAAATGAGGTGGATGAGGGACCTAGGTAGGTTACAACTTGCAGCAGACTAGCCACAAATGAACAATAGGATGAAGATTAAAGCTATGTTAAAAATTGCTTTTTGTTCCATTCCTCAGAGTGTGCTTCTTTCGACTTGTCTTGTGAACTCTATTTCCATTTCTTGGCTAGCACGACAAACTGTATAAACTGACAAAAACCTTATGACAGCAGCTAAAATTTTATGCTGTATAATTTTAACTTTGCATTGTTCACTCTGCCCTCATTGTGTTGTACCTTATCTGATATACATCGCAATTGCCTCTTGGCAGGGGCAGTAATAAGCAATACACATGTTCTACAAATGCATAGAACTCCAAAGGAACTGGTTACATTAGCAGTAAAAATACTACAAGCAGAGTGGTCATTAATC